TTGAATAAGGGTTGTTTCATGTTAAGCCGACCACTATTCTGCTCTTGATCTGTAGAATTGATTGCACTATTACAATTTCACATTTAAATTAGTTGACGTAAAATTCAAAAGTTTACCATGAAGCAAAATATGAAAGGGGAAGTTGTGGTAAGAAGAAAATAAAAAGAAAACCCCAATTAACCAATTAAATACCAAAAAACTAAATTAAATGAGAAGCTCCTGCTTGTTTTGTGGGGGTAAATCTACTTTTATTTTTTTTGTGATGTAAATTGTAAAGAATAAAAACGTTACACCAGTAATTTTGAATGTCATTTCAGGCAAGTGGAACGGTAAGCGCGAAAGTAAAGAACAAAGAAACAACAAAAAAAAACACATTTTTATGTTAAAGAACTTAATCTACTTTTAGACCACCAAACAAATTATACATAATTTTTTTAAGTTATTATATTTCATAAAGTAGGCTGAAGTATTTAAAGAAAAAACATTACCATGCGATTTATTCGCACGGGCATACCTACTAACATTTTATTTGCATTAGCATCGTATGCGTAATATTTTTGAATATGCAAACTATTTTCTACATTTTATTCCATTTTTCCTGCAAGTCAGTTCCCAAAAGGAAATGCAATTTCTAAATTATGTAAAGTATAAAAAAAATTATGGTACATTTCGGTCAGCATACGCAACTGCGATTTCGTCGAAATTTCCGTATGTTGTGCAGTTTAAAATGATAAACAAGAACATATAGGTACAGGAAAACATTCACTCAACAAAGAAATTGCATATTCCTTTGTCGACATTTTTTCTTTTTCATTCCGTACGAGGGAAAACGCATAATTTGGTGAACGTATGGAATATTTCCTTCAACCACGTCTATCTGAAAATATTACCTGCTTCTGTAAAAATTGCCCTAAACTAACCGAACTCTCAAATAGAACAATGCGTAACACCCCTCAAAAACTTTAAATTTATTAGATTTATTTAGATATTAGATACTTTATTATTTATATGAAAAGTTTTCAGTTTTCAAACTTCGGAAAATCAGAACTAGCTGAATCTAATCTAACCTAATCCAATCTCAACGTAACCTAAGGCAATTATACATGGTGGCTCACGGTGACCACCCATCAGAATATGTCGGACACTACATCGATTCGAATTTTGAAAATTTGAATCATACCGTTATTGGGTATGCTCTAGTCAATTAAAATAGCGGCATCTATGTAGCACTTCCGGCTATACCGGAAGTTGATATCAACTTCGTTATTTTAAATAGAACACCCCGTATTCTACGACGGTTTTGATTTTTGCTTATGATTTTGGGTAGACTTTTATAATGCTTTATTTGTTAACGAAGATGGCTATGAAATTATTAGCAGATCTTCAAAAGAAATAATATGAGTTTATTATTGTCACCCATACACCCATAGTGACAGTTTAGTCATTAAATATTTTAATTCTCAATGTCAATTATTGAATATTACTTTTATGACGAATGGACGAAGTTCCTATTCAAATCGAGAAGAATTTTATAAAATCAACTGCAATACGGTAGACTACAGATAACAATAGTAAAAAAAGTAAATAAACAATAAACACGGCACGCCTATCAGCATATCGCTCTTATGACCAAGCTTACTCTGCTACAAAACAATTGAATAATTTTATTAACAATTTTTTGACCTCCAAAAATAGGCTACAACCATCAAAACCCAGCAAATGCCATTCTGCAAAATTACATACGCCTACACCACTACTCACACTACTCACTCAAGATGTTCCAGATGCCCCGTTTAAATACACCCATACTAGTCGATTCCCTTAACTCCTCTGGCAACAGATTCCACGCATGTCTCAATATGAAAGGCAGCGAATAAAATTGAAAATTTGTTTTCGCTGTGCTCTCAATCAGAAATATAGGATCCCGTGTTGGATAGGCAGAGTCTCTCATAGGGAATAGCTCACAAAGTTCAGGACAGTTAAAGTAGTTGTGACGCAGTTTATACATAAAAATATAATTATTATATAACAGTCTATCAGTAGAGTTGGGAGAGAACCGGTTCAATATCCACTCGAAGTCGTGATTTCTATACGACATAGGTATCTGTCTTGAAAGAAACGACACGAAGCATCCTTCTTTGAATAGATTCAATTTTTTTCAACAACAGTTGCGTGTACGGAGCCCATATTACCGATGCATACATACATATAGGGAGTACCATAGTTTTATAGTGTCACAATCGTTTCCGGCTTTCTGAAGTCAACCGTCATTCTCCTTATAAAACCTACCAGTGTTAAGCATCTTGCTACCACATAATCAATATGACCCACAAATGACATAGTGTTATCAAAATAAATACCAAGATCTTTAATCGATTCAAGTCGAGGTAGCACATGACCATCAATGGTATATACCGATTCGTAGCCCAATTTGCTTTTACAATAAGATACATATGCACTTTTCTTGTAATTAAGGTAAGGACGGTTTTCTTCAGACCACCACTTAACCGCATCTAAATCCGCCTGCAAACCACTCACATCACTCTCATCACACAACACTCTAAACATCTTTATATCGTCCGCGTACAACAGCAATCCAGATCCATTGATGCAGGCTAAAAGGTCATTGATAAATAACAGAAATAACAAAGGACTCAGGTGCGATCCTTGGGGAACGCCCGAATGTATATCGTAATAATATGATAGATCATTTAACAACCTTGCACTCTGCACCCGACCCCTTAGGTAAGAGTTCAGCTAGGACCCCTATACAGCACACACTCCAAAATTGCTCAGCTTGCGCAAAAGAACCGAATAATTTACAGTTTCAAAAGCCTTGCTAAAATCTAAATACAATACTCTGCCTGCTGCAACTTTCTTAAGGCCNTCCGCGCCCCTCTTCTTAGGTAATGTTACTACTACGTTCCGTTTATAATCCTCTGGGACTTTCCCCGTTTCGTAAATGTGACTAACTAACTTAAACATACGATCTCTAACCTCTTGTCCTGCATGTTTTAGAATTTCCCCCTGTATCCCATCTACACCTGGCGCCTTATTATCCTTTAAATTTTTTAATGCTACATCGAACTCTTCTCTCATTATGGGATAACCAAGCTCATCTATTTCCACACTATTTTCCTTCTCTAACATATCTCCTAACTCGGGGCCTGCGTAAAGGATCTCTAAATATTCTTTCCACCTATCTGCCTTTTCCTCATTTTCTATCAACATGACCCCTGCCTCGTTTATTACCTATATATTATTACCTATACACAATAACTATCCTATCGCTTTTTTGTAAATAACTTTCTACACTCTGCCCTACTTTCCTACGCATTACAATTCCTACACCTGAATTACCTTCTACAGATCCTNTCGTTTTTTTTATTCTCGCCCTCTATTATTCTTTTGTACAACCAGTTTTTTTTTGTTTTGTCTTTTCCTTTATCTTCAGTTTTATTATTTTCCTCCATATATTGTACCCTTCAAATTCTGTTGTATAAAAATTTTAATCCTGCTATCCAATCAATTAATAATAAATCGTAGGAAGGTCTGATAAACAAAAACTTGTCTCGCCCTCAGAACAAAAAGTCTCCATCAAAAAGCCCAAGGAACACTCTAATTACGAACAGGTGACTACCAGTAATAGACAATAACTAAAATTTCTTCCAAACGCACAATTCTGCATCAATAACACTAATCTTATCCTATGAAGATCCTATATCTTTCATCGCAGCAAGTACAACATTAAAAATCGATTCGTTTTTCCCACATAAATTATCTAAAACACTCGGAGTATAATTCCACACACCTATATCGATCGACCGACCGACCGACCATTTCCTCTTATTGTTACTGATTCTTCATTTTCTGTAAGACATCACATCATGTTATTATAATGAAATATGCAGACAAAATTTAATAACGCATAAAAAAGGACATTGTCCTCAAAAACAACGTTAATGTTATTATCCACTATTTTCCTCTTCGGTATAGGTACTTGTTTTGGAAAATTTTTTAGTAAATTCTTAAAGTAAAACGAAGTAGGTATGTTTCACCAATTTATTAATCCAATCTGACAAATGTGTTTATAGTAGCCTTAAATTATCTTTAAAAAGGTCATTTACAAATTTATAGCATCTTTGGGGAGTCGCCATCTGTCTACGCGAAGTGGGGAATCTATTTTCAATTTCCAGATTTTCCAATGAAGTGAACTTCTTACTTTTACCAACATTAGGATCTTAGCTTTCTCAATATCGATATATATTGTGATTGCTATTTGAGAAGCGTTAGGAAAATGTACTTGTTTTATCTTCCTTTTTAGTACCGGCTGTACCTTCTTTTAAACGTGTAATTACTGCTCTACCACCTTGACCTACGTAGATAGCACCGTATGCTTGACAAAGCAGTGGATAAATGCCGCCTTTTTCTTTAATATTTTTTTTACGTTTGTTACGTACCAAAAGGCTGTTTATACTTGATGACTGATTAAAGCATTCAAGATTTGTGCTTTTGCAACTAATAATAAAACCATAAAGTTTTTTATTAAACAAATTTAAAAAAGGTTTGAAAGAAAAGAGGGATACTTATCAATTGTTTTATGAATCGTGTGAACTTAGATAAAAAAACACAAAAAAACCTCATGTTCAAAATTAACGTTATTAACGTTATGCGTCCGTGCTTGGGTCGCAGAAATTCATATGTGACTGTGACAGACGGACAGACAGACACATGAGTGAACCTATAAGGATTCCGTTTTTCATTCGGGCCTACAAAACCTTAAGCAAATCAAAATTTCTAAACTTTCACTTACCTTGCCAATAACCAAATAGAACTAAACTCGCGGAACTTTTCACTCTTCGGTTACAGATATCAACTCCCGAAACCATATAATTTTGTATAGATCCTTTGTAAATTTAGCACTTAAAAGTATATTCTTGGTAATGCTACTACTGAAGCAATTTGGTCGAGCTATTTCGGTTAACATTAAATGCACTTCTGATAATTGACTTGTTGACAACTCCTCTTCTCATATTTTATTAAAGTGATGATTTTCCAATAAGATTACCTATTTAATTTGAAACATTTGGTATTCAGTTATTTTAGCAGCGCTTATGTTCGTTAATTTTAATATTCATATATTGTATAATTTTTCATATACATAACAATTAAACCTGGTTTGTAGGACACAGTGGGAAGATACTTTGTCTTACTGTAACAAAACAATCTCAATACTTGTTAACTGGCTCGGAAGATATCAGTATTATAGTGTGGAACTTAAAGACATTAACTATTCATTTGAAAATTGTTGAACACATTGCTCCAGTTCTAAGTATAACGAGTGCCCTGAATAACTCTTTAATTGTTAGTGGGGGAGAAGACAGTAGCATTATAATGACATCTCTTTCAACAGGAAAACTTGTATGTATCTCTCTTGGAAACGAGCCCGTAAACATTCATGTGTCACATCATCATTCTGTTGTCAGGTCATGAAATTCGACCACCATCGAGGTCCGGTGACTTCAGTAAAAGTAACTTCCGCAGGAGATGTACTTGTATCTGCCAGCCAAGACGGAATTGCGTGCTTATGGTCACTAGAATCGTTTACTTTGCTAAACTGTATTTCGCTAAACTCTCCCGTGTTAATGACGGATGTTTCCGCTGATTCTGTATTTTTATTAGCAGCATGCGCAGACAACAGCCTTTGTCTCAGAACATTGGCAACTGGTACGGAACTTCATAGATTTTCTTCTCACAAATCAAAGGTAAGAGTTATGCATTTTTATAAATCTTGAATAAGGGTTGTTTCATGTTAAGCCGACCACTATTCTGCTCTTGATCTGTAGAATTGATTGCACTATTACAATTTCACATTTAAATTAGTTGACGTAAAATTCAAAAGTTTACCATGAAGCAAAATATGAAAGGGGAAGTTGTGGTAAGAAGAAAATAAAAAGAAAACCCCAATTAACCAATTAAATACCAAAAAACTAAATTAACTGAGAAGCTCCTGCTTGTTTTGTGGGGGTAAATCTACTTTTATTTTTTTTGTGATGTAAATTGTAAAGAATAAAAACGTTACACCAGTAATTTTGAATGTCATTTCAGGCAAGTGGAACGGTAAGCGCGAAAGTAAAGAACAAAGAAACAACAAAAAAAAACACATTTTTATGTTAAAGAACTTAATCTAC